AGCATCTATTTTTTTTTTTTTTTAATCTTTTAAATTTCTAAGAATATTGAAGGAGCAGAAGAATCTTAACTTTGAACTAAAAAAAAAGGACTAAATCTGTTCCATATATATCCAAAAACTTACCGATTAATTTAGGTTGAAATCATCTAACAAAACATTTTTTTTTGTTTCCCTTTCAGCAAAATGATATCTGATTTTAAAACTGATGATATCTTATTTTGTTGAATATTGAAAGAATTCAAGCATGCTTAACTTTGAACAAAATAGAAAAGACATAATTTTATTCTGAGCACATATAGTACAACATGCCAGCTTATATAGATTGGAATCAATTAGCAAAAGTTTTTTTTTTTTTTAGTTTTCATTTCAACGAAATAATATGTGATTTAAAAACTGATGATATCTGATTTTGTGGAACATTAAAGAAATTGAATATTAAAAGATTTGATGGAATTCAAGATTTTCTTGTTTTCCAGTGACTTCATTTATGGTCAAGAATTCGACTTCTGCCACGCACATACGTCACAGCCCTTTTTACATGGAGGACACATTCACACACTATCCGTCCATTGGCACATCATAATTTTGACCTGAACCAGAGCACGATCAATCTCCGATCCAGTGATCCCAGAGGTATTTTATTTTATATTTTATAACCATCGTTGAACAATCGACCAATTTTTGGGTTTACGATTTCCAATGTTCAACTCGGGAGTCTTGTAATTTTGAACACAATCCAGAAGACAAGGGAACTCTTGGATCAAGTATAGGGAGAAATTTTGCCTTTGTGGAGAACTTTTTGATGGAACTAACCCGCATTTGCGTTACATAGAGGGAAGACCACGAGAACCTCACAAGGTTAGATTGACGGCAAAGGGACTCTAACCCGTGATCCATCTAGCACTGAGGATATTTCACGTCCTGCACTATGGTCGGTGCAAGCCGAATGCGGATTCGTATCGACCAGCCATTGGTGAGATTCGAACCCGGTTCACCTCATTGGAAGGCGAATGCTCTATCTCCTGAGCCATAACAGCTCAACTCCAGAGGTGTTGATTTGTTATGGGAACTTGGAAGACTTTGTGACTCCGACAGATTTAGAATGCTCTAGTTATCATTTCAGGTGGTGGGGATCGAACTCACGACCTCATTGGCATGGGCCCAACGCTCTACCAACCAGGCTTATCCCGGACTTGACTAATAAATGCTTTCCTTGAATTACAGCCATTCTTTAATCCGATTTTTCGACCGATAGTTCTTGATTTAATTTTTTTTTCAACGATGATATTCATTTTCTTTTGTGCATTGCTTCTTAAAAGTATGATTCAAATTTCAGCTGTTCGAAAAGAGGGCTGTTCTCAGAAAGTAGGAGTATAACACGGAACTAAGCTCTGACTAGTTCAAATTTATTTTACACTAACATTGTTAGAGTAAATTTTCTTTTGTGCATTGTTTCTTAAAAGTATGATTCAAATTTCAGCTGTTCGAAAAAAGGGCAGTTCTTAGAAAGTAGGAGTATAACGCAGATCTAAGCTCTGACTAGTTCAAATTTATTTTACACTAACATTGTTAGAGTAAATTTCTAATTTAGTATTTTAATGCGAAATAACTTAAATAACTGAAATTTTTTTTTATAAATGCCATAAAAATATTTCTCTCACTAAAAGGATTAATTTTGGACATCGGTATGAAAAATTGAACTTATGTAATACCAACAAATTTTCTATAGTAGTTTCTACGCGTCTACAATTAAAAATAAGAGAAAAAAAAGTTCAATAAGAGAGACTATTTGATTATATTCCTTATAAACGACAAGACAACACTAGATTATTTACTGTCCTGTGTGAAATATTTTCTGAAAAATTAATTTAGTGTTCTGATGCATGTTCAAATGCGGCAATCGAAACAACGCTATTATTTTAACAGAAAATAAAGTAAAGAAGGTTTTATAAAGTACTTTAACTATTATTAAAATAATTTTTCAAATATTAAAAAGTATTTTCTTTTGTTTTTATAAAATATTTTTCTAAAAAAATGCTATTTTCTACTCTGAGAATAAAATATGGTCAAAACTTCCAGAATATGATAAAATTCCTCGTGTTTTTGGTTCTATGGGAACACCAAAAAGATCGGTAATTTTTACCGAAGAGCTTTGGTATTGCTTTTGGTAAGATTAATAACAAAATATTGTTTTATTACATTATAAAATCTGGTAAATGAGTTAAATTTGGTAATTTTAACATGCTACATGTGCATGATATAAAAGTCCTTTTCACGGTTTAATATACTCTTCAATTTTGTATTTTTAACTGAATGTGTGATAATAAGAATAATAATTGTGAGAACCTGAGTTTTTGCTAAACCGTTTCCATATGAACGGAAAAATAACCAAATGAATAGTTTTAATACCGCCGGCCAGGTGGCCGAGCGGTGAGCGTGCCTGACTGCGAAGTCATAGGCTGCGGGTTCGAATCCCGCTCTGGGCATGGATGTTTCTCTCTCTCTTTGTGCTGTCCTCCGTTGTGTGTATGATGTGTGAATGTGGCCCACCCTATAAAACGGGTTCGTGGAAGTGTGGCGTGGGCAATGTTGCTCGCCTCCGTGACTTTGGTTCACAGGTGCCCATTGGGTAACGCGAAATGAGCAACAATTCTGGCATAGTATAGGCAAAGATTCGAATTCAGTGCCTGCCATTGAAAAAAAAATAGTTTTAATACCGTATATTTTTGTTTCTTTTTTAACCAGAATTGTGCTTTTTTTCTTAAAACAGAAATTCATTACCATACCTTGCGGTAATTTCACCAGAATTTTTTCCATGTGTAATAGTGAACAGTTCAAATCGCGTGATTTTTCGTTACGTTTATTGTTTTATGCAACATGATTTCCTAAAATTCAGCAAAAAAAGCTAGCATAGTGTTAATTTTTTTAATTCAAAAGGTATTTCGTGTAAGTAGAAAGTATTTAATGTATATAACATAGCTACAGAATTCAAAATTAGCAATAGTTAGCATTATTGTTCCCTTCTTTTGAAAACTCCTCAAAACGTAAGTATTTATGAAATAACCGAAGCATAACTAGAAATACTTTAAAAACAAAAGTAAATTTTACGCACATAAAAGCTTTTGTCAGTACGCTACTTTTTTTTTAAAATAAAAATATATGACAGAGTTTGAAGCAAAACGCAGTACGCACATGTTCAAGTGGATTGTTGAACTATTTTTGTATATTTTTTTGTTCATTTCAAACACACTTTGTTAGAAAATAATGTTAATCTTTCTAATAAATAGGAATCAAAAATATTTCATGTTTATTATAGTTCTTTACAGTTGACTAATAAAAATATAAAGCCAGCAAAAAAAAAAATATAATGAAGATAAATAACCATATAACATAAAAAATTGTTTAGTTGAAAAACTCTAGAACTGTTTCAAGTAACAATTTGGCAAAGCATAATTTACATAGAACTTTTTTACGTGCAGTGAAAGCATCAATATTTTCTGAATATTTGTAAGCAATATGAAAAAATTTTGATTACAAATAAACGTATTTAAACAGAGTTTTTAAGTAGAAAGAATTGAAAAAAAGTTTTTAAAGTGGTTTATTTTTTTATTATTTGACTCCATAATTAATTGATTTCCTAGGTCTTCCTTAATAATAATTAAATTAGGTAATTAAAGTAACAAGTATCTTTCCTTCATTGTTAGAGTTAAGTTAAAACGATATTTGCTTTCTAGATACATTACGCTTTTTTAATGTTCATTTAAAGCATCAAAAGTTTTCTACTTTTTGCTGGTAACTTGAAATAATTTTGTTATAAAACTTGTTCATTTTTAACTTACTTGCCCTCATCATTATTTTATTTTTTAAGAACACTTACTTGAAAATATTTAGAGTAATTAAAAGTATCTTGCGTACGTTGCGCAAGTTAAGCATATGGTTTATGAAAATGCATTGAGAATTGTTTTACCGCTTTCAGTCACAATTCATTCACAATACCTGCTTTAACGTTTCATTGCGCTTTTTCAATGTATATTTAAAGCCTCAATATGTTTCTATTATTTGCAAGTAATGTGATATGAATTTGGTAAAAAATAAAATTATGAAATAAGATGTTTAAAAATTGTTTATTTTTTAATTACTTGTCACCATGATTAATTTATTAATTAAGTCCATTTGAAAATATTTGATTGATTCAAAGTATCTTGCACACGTTGTGTAAATTAAGAAAATGCGTCGAGAATTGTTCAGCCGAAATTCAATCACAACGCTTGCTTTCACTTTTTATTGCGCTTTTTTCAATGTATATTTAAAGCATCAATATTTTTCTTATGTTTGCAATTAACATGATATAAAATGAAAATGTATTGAGAATTGTTTTACCGCTTTCAGAGAGATTATAATACTTGCTTTCACTTTTTATTGTGCTTTTTCAGCATATTAAAGAAGGCGTATTAAAGAAGTATCTTAAAGCATCAATATTTTTCAAATTTGCTAGCAGCATGAAATAATTTTGATTAAAATTAAAAGTATAAAATAAGATGTTTAAAAGTTGTTTATTATTTAATTTTTGCCTTCGTAATTAATTTAACTTTTAGGTGCACCTATTAGATAATATTTAGAGTAATTCGTAGTATCTTGCATAGGTTCTTTAAGTTAAACATGGTTTAAAAAAATCCATTGCTTTGTCACTTTTACTTGTTTTCACTTTTCATTGCTCTTTTTCTTGGTACATTTAAAACATCGATATTTTTCTAATATTTGTAAACAACATGAAATAATTCTGATTAAAAATAAAATAATAAAAGAAGACGTTTAAAAGTTGTTTATAATTTTTAATTATTTGTTTTATAATTTAATTTATTTTTTAATTTAATTTATTTTTAATTCCACTTATTGGTAGAAAGTACTCAAAGTAATTAAAAGTATCTTGCGAATATTGTTTTAGTTACGCACGTATACAATAGATTATTCACTTCCTTTTTCATTAAAAGAAAACTTACCTTTTACATTCATCTCGGAGCAATCAAATTTTTCAACACAGGATAACACACACTGCTTCAATTCAGAAGCACAATCGGAACAACCGGATGACCTTTGACCCGGTAATACTCGTTTTCGGGGACCAAAGGGGAAAGGTTTACTCTGTGCTATTGCTTGCCCAACAAGGAAGCAGAGGATGAAGATGATCTTCATTGCTGGATTACTATAATTGAAATGCGGAGATTAGTGCAAAAACCTGCGTAAAGGTGAAAGCTTAACTTAAATACTTTTCTCGCCCGAGCAACCTACTTTACTTGTCCATTAATATTTCGTCCTTCATACCTGTTCACCCGTACCTTTCTTATTTGTCCTTCCATTGATGTTACGCACAGTTATGTTTTATAAAGGTGTTTATTTTACATTAAAACGAGTGTATTCACCTTTAATGACATTCATGAGATTATTGTAAAGGGATGATATTCTCTCAATTATTTGATAAGGTACATTTTATCAATTTACAATAACTGGAAGTTCTTAAAGCATTCAAATTTTTAAAATTGGCATTGTAAATAAAAACTAACTTTTTGCTGGTTTCATGGTGTTCTTAGTTTAAATTTGTCATCGTTAAAGAATAATTGACAGAACTGACAGAAACAAGCTCAATAGAATCTAGTAACTGTACACACATTTTAAAAGTTGTATAAAATTTATTTACTTCAAACAATATCAAAAGTTTCTAAACTTTATCTAAAGTTTTTCTGCTTCGCCATCCTACTTTTTCGGATCCAGCTCCAGTTGTCCTTTTTAACATTTCTGATTCATACTAATCATCTCTTACTGAAAATTTTTTGTCACATAGTTGATTACTTCCTAATAAGTATTATTTTCTTCTGAATTCATTGAATTGGCAATTTCTTTCCTATTTTATGGGCAGAATGTTCTTGTATCTACGCACATCTTGTATATACACACGTCTACTTCTTTAGGAATGAATAATTCTAGCAATTTATTTCTAAACAAAATTTTCTTTTTCTTCTCTCTAGAGTTTTAAGAAGTTATTTCCAAAATTTTTCAATGAGAAAAAATTATATATATATATATATATATATATACAGTGGAGCATCGTTTATACGACGCCCACTTAT